CTTCATCCAATACTCCACCCGCACCAATTGTTTTAAACACTCCTACATTCCACGTACCATCAAGGACTGGAACTCACTACCCTCCGACATCCAAAGGACCACGAACATCGACACCTTCAAACTCCAAGCAACCAACTTTTTCTGCAACCAAGACTCAAGCAATAAGAACTAAACAAGCACAGTGCGCACCCCCTCATCCTCCTCGCTTGGTTCCTTACGGAACGTTGAGGAGTATCCCAGAAGAAGAAGAAGAAGATGGCTCTAGCAATGAGGAAACCAAATTGTGTGATGGAATGAGGCATTTCTCAATCTCGACTTCTTATCATGATGTTGAATTTAAAAGATATGGAATAAAGTTTTAGTTAAAATTTAACAAGTCCAGATTTTTTGGTCATGTATCTTCTCGGAGGTAGTGGCATAGTACTACCAGGGGGTCGTGGGACGTAGGTTCTACCTTCCCATTGAATGGTGAAAAATAATAGAAGAAAAGAGCTGTCACAACAACAAATAATGAGAAAAGAAGATGCCTAGACCCCCCCCCCCCAGCCCCATCCTTCCATGCAGTTTTGAATTTGAATTTGAATTCAAATTCAGTGCTCCCTTCAGTGCTCCCTTTAGTGGGTGTACTGGCACTGCACCACTGCTCTAAGCTCATGATGTGAAAGAAGAAAAAAGATAACGCAAGATACTCTTTCAACTTGAATATTTTATCAAATTGTTATTTTAGTAGTATTTCTACTATGGTACGAAAATAGTTGAGATTGTCTTTGCTGATAGTGGATTTTGTTGTTTTTGTTGCAGATCCTGTGATTTTCATAGTTCCTGCTGAGCATTTGTAATGGCTGAGACAAGATGGACGGCGATAGTGGTCACATGTCAAAAGAAAGAAAGTGCAAGGGCCTTTCAAGAGGGTAAGTTCCAAGGAAATTAAACTCTTTGAGAAATTGATGCAAAATATTGCTCACAAATCTGTTTTGTTTTCATTTTTTCATATGATTATTGCTCTGAGATTTACATTTACTACAGTTTCGCATAAGGCAGTCTCATATGATGATTTTATAGTGTTAGGTCTATTTTTGTTTTTTTCATACTCAACTTCATGGCAAAGATGATGGCTTCTTAATAAAGTCCTACAACTTTGGAATAATGTGAGATCTGCTCGAAATGACATTCAAATAATTTATTCACTCAATATAAAAAACAGACACATAGAATTGCGAATAAACGCATACATGTATAACAAATATAAAAAGATGGACATAGCAAAATCAGTAGATGACAACACAAATAACATAAATTGAGTGGGGACAGATTAAAGATCTACTCAAAGATCTTGTGAATTCGACCCCTTGGAATAATCTTTTGTTTGTCAGTCTTAAAACATATTTTGTGCTCTCACTTGAAAGAATGAAAAGAAAGGGAAAAAGGGAAAGGAAAGAAAACACAAAAGATGTGTGTATGTGTGCTCATACTACAGATGTCATAATTGCAAATAGATCAGACCCCCCGCGACAGGAACATTTAAAGCCCCACTGCACTAAATAGCAAACAATGCCTAATCGGTGCCTGTTGGTCCCTCATGATCCCCTTTTTATTATTATGTTAATTGAGAGTTGATTTGATGAGATAACCATCTGTCAGTGACCTTGCAGGGAGGTCTAATCCCCCCTGGCCAGACTAGTGCAGACAGGCTTTAAAGGGTCATGGAGAAAGAAAAACTTCTTCACTGTTAAAAAAAAACATTTTCAAATGTGTCTTTGTTAGAGCTGGACAATAGACAGAGGAAAGGTCACATTGACCCAAAGACCCTTCTTCTAACTGTAGAGGATCCCCTGTCAAAGGTCGGCAGTGGGGGCGCTACACTCAATGCTCTTCTGGTGGTGGCTGAACACTTGAGTCAGCAACAGGGTTATACGGTAAGAACACCTTTGTTTTTGCAATGACGACCCTTCGTCATTGCCTTGTTTTCGTTCACGTTATTAATATTCTTGGTTCTTCCTCTTCTTCTTGTCGTCCGGAATCTCATTCGCTTTGCACGTAGTGCTTTTTATTCCTATCCAGGTCCTTTCCTCAAGTCCTTTTCCTTTCAAATTTCGTAGGCATCATCTCTAGCATTTCATCAAGGTCACCTACTTTTTCGATTTTCGAAATCACTCATGCATGACCGTCCAGGCGCCATTTTGTCCGTTTCTGGTCCATTTTAAGGCCTTTATATCTTCCTTCCTATCTCCACTATCCTAGATCCTACAAACTTCTAACAAATTCCTCTAGATAGTCTGAGAGATGTTCTTTCATCTGCGACATATGACTTGACCTTCAAAATGCCATCTTCATACTCGAAATTCAAATCTAAAACCGACTCCGTCAAAAATCTCTCAAGTTCTTGAAAAATGGACCCCTAAATAATCTAAAACTGCCATAACTTTCTCATATAAATTCCGTTTTGTATTTAAATCTCACAGTATCTTTATCTCATAATTGCACATAGCCATGCCAAAGTTCACGGTCCAATGGCTTTGCACAACATAAATAGCGCCCTCTAAAGTTCTGGGAATTGGCTTTCTGTCTGTGGCCGTATCTCCAAAATGGCTTGGCAAACCCGTACCCTTTTTTGGATTTAGATACTTGAAGATATGCCCTTTCCAGCCATATACAAAATTATATACCCTATCACTGACCAAATTTGAGAAAATTGCCCTCCAAATTCGCCATTTTCAAGAAAATTGAGAAATAACTTCAACTTGCTCTAAAATGGCGATCGTTATACCTACATCAATGAAACTTTGCAGACATATGTATCCATATACGTGACAACTGTTTACCAAGTTTGGTAAAATTCGAATATGTCAGCGCAAAGTTATCGCCAAAAATGATGAATTTACTATGCATTACGTAATAGCGCCTTTAATGCGTGCAGTACATTGCGTGCAGATGACAATGGTGTCAAACTGACCGCAATGAAGTGCCCTTTCGAATGATACCAAGTATGGTATATGTTTACACAGAAAATTGTGAGTAAATCGCATTTGAACAAGGGTCACTATACGAATTCCGCCCGATTATAACACTTATCGGCCATGACGTCATTTTTTTCAGACTACTTTTCGCCCCCTAAACATCCTTTTTTTTCCTTGAAAATTTGCAATGACATTCCGCGATGCAATACGCAGGGCACCTCGTGGCCGGATTTTTGAAATTGGTCAAGGGGGCCATTTAAGACGCCATTTTGTCCTTTAAATCTATTTTACATCACATGTTTCGATAGGATTATCATAGAAAAAAAGAGAGTAGTTTACAATAACGACCATGAAATTCTCTTTCCAATGATACCATATACGGCCCATAAAGAGACATAAAGAGAGAGAGAAAAAACAATTTAACTCCGGTCATAATACAGATCCTCTACGTTTTCCGCCCATGCATTACACGCATTGTCTATGGGGCAAATCGGGTTCACGCTTTTGACCCCTAGAACGATCTTGATTGCAATGACGAACGTGCAACTAATCCCATTTGTTTTTGCACGCAGTGCTTGCGAGCCCTTTCTAGGTTCTTTCCCCTATCCCAATTTCTTTCAAACTTCGTAGGCATAGTACCATCCCATCAAGGTCACTGTTGATGCCTTTCTTTCGCCCTACCTATCTCCAATATCACAGAAGCTACAGACTTCGTGCAAATTGCTCTGGATAGTCCGAGAGAAGCTCTTTCGTTTGACACGTAGAAACATGGCGTCATTGCACGCACATCGTTGTGACACGATTGCATTTCTAGTTATGTTCATTAATAATTCTGCATATTTAAGCCTCATTCAGAAATGAAGTGGGTAAACATTTCTTTTTTGTTGTGATGACACAAGGCAGTGTAATACGCTGAATCTGTATCTTATAATACAGAACTAATACATCTGCGGAGGACCTTTCATTCAGTTGCCATTCATTTACGCTTTGAAAAAAAGATGCATCGATTTACAACTTGAGACATGAATAAGCCTTTATTTTCATACAGGGCTTAATATGACGTAAAATATTTGTTTTGTCGTTGTTGGCAACTTTCTTCTTTTTGTCTGTTTTGCTTGAAGTCAATTTAAGTTGCTTGTATCTGGCCTTGAAGTTGCCTTTTTTCTTGCTTGTGCAGTCTGTCTATTATGTTTTTATTTATCTATTTTTGTCTTGCCTGCGAGGCAAAAAGCGAGATCGTAGACAATTTAGACATAGAATTTCAGGTCACAAAGTCAAGGTCAAAGGTCATTTCAGGTCAACATACTCAGACTATCTTGTGGCATCAACATCACAACTTAACCAAAGGCTAAGGGTTTGAATTTTTATCATAATTTTGAAAGTATACATTCCTAATCCATGAAACATGAACATCTAGGGGTTATCAAGTATCATCAATCATTTGATTAGATGACAGAGTACATTCAGGTCTGCAAACTTGTGGCATCAACATCAAAACTTAACCAAAGGTTAAGATTTTGAATTTTTAGAATAATTTCAAAATTGTTTGTTCAAATTTCATGAAACTTGTACACGAGGGTAATCAAGTATCACAAATCATATGACACAAATTCCAGGTCACAAGGTCAAAGGTCATTTTAGGGGGCCTGCTAATGGGCAACCCTACCTAAAAAAAAATGTCCCAGCCTCAGTTTTTCATCATATCGAATTGCGTAATGCAGGCGAGACCGCCGAGAGCATTCGATCCCTTGTTTATCTTTTCTTCTTGAAGAGGGATGGAGGTGATATGGGGATTTAGTTGAAAGAGCAAGGACAGAAATTTATGTCAGGTATCCTGGCTAAGATGTAACATGTAACCTAAAGTTGACTTCATCCCAAGATTTTTTCCTTTGTTGTACTAAGCTATAGTTTTCTTTCATTCTTATATCTCCATATACCTGTTTGCAATTTCATAGAATCAATGTACCAAATGATGAAAAACTTGTGTATGATTATTTCTACTATGATATGTGATATACGTTTTTAATCATGTTTTTTTTCTAGGTTGTGAACAGTGATGTTTTAGCAGAGTCTAAAATCCTAATACTTCATGTGGTAAGGAAATAAATTCTTTATTTTTCAATCCATGCAAATCATTAGCAGTGAGATCTGTTATCTAAGTATGGTAGTGCCTGAGGATGTCTCGTTAACAGTATCATCATTAATTCTCTGAGAGAGAGTCGCCCTTTGACATTGTTGCTCTTTTTCATATATCATTAAAGTAATGGGGGGGGGGTATCCATTTACAGTCTGACTCGATACACAGTTTTCTTTATCAATGTGCCATTGGGGCATTGGATGATCAAAAGGAACCTTGCGAATGTATTCTAAGAAATATTTTTTCTTCTCTCTTTACCTCTTCAGAGGAACTTTATTATTCCATTTCATATACATATAGACTATTTACAAAACAAGTAAAATGAAACATATGAATTATACAAGATCAACATAATTTCTTAAAATGATCATTATAACATTTCTATTACTTTTTTAACTTCTCCATTATCGAAGTATCTTATATTTTCTCAGTATTTCAAATAACATTTCAATGATGAAATAAAATTATTTATTAACCTCTTTGGATTGGTTGGTACTTCCTCAAAGTTCCGCTTTACGTAATCTTTGTATATTACCAGTTGTGCATTTATAAGAAATATGAAATAACCTAATAAAAAGTTAAGCTTATGATGATATTAACTGTAATTGGCAATATGGTCTGTGGAACATGTAGAGTTCAAAATTTTCTGTAAAATTGCAAATTGCGTAACATTGGATTATTGCGTGTCGTATTTTTGGAAACAGACACATAGAAACTGAGAAATTGTATTATACCACATATGGTATTCACATGAATAGGGTGCGTATGTGTATCGTGGAGTGAGAACACCATTGAAATGGTAAGCTCATACATCTCATGGACAGGCTTACGCGATAAGCAGATTCCATTGACATCATATGATTTCAAACTAGAGTTAAAGACATTTGCAAGCAAAAAAAAAAAAAACCAGGTCTTACATCTGAGGATGATAAATACTGTGTGAGTTATGAGGACCGAAAGACTTCATAATATTAAAAAAATGAATCTAACAACATTATTCAGTGGACTTTGTAGGCACATGTCGAAGCTTGTGTGTCTGTATTTGAATTGCAATGTTATTTGTTTGCATGTTAGCTATGCAGCTCTTGTACTACATTTAAAAGATTTGACTTTTAGTATGATGAAGAGCTAAACTGATTATTTGTTCAGAATGTTTTACTTTTTAAAGGTGTATTTGTGTGTGTAATTCCAGTGTTTTACAGCATTTCTTGAGAAATTTCTTACCCTGAATAAGAACATTTTGTAGAAATTAATTTGTATATTTGTTGTAACATACTTTAAAAACAAAATGAAACCAAACAAAGAAAATCTCTACTAATTGACTAAATTTGACTGTTGAAATTTTACGTGAAGCTTTATCTATTACCTATTTGTCAAGTATTTGAAGATTGATTTCATACACACTTTCATTTATGTTTAGATATTGAATAGTACCTTTAATCTGAACTTAGGTTTACAAGGTTTCTGATTTTAAGAGGCTTATATAAATGCTTACAGTGTGTTTGGAGATGGGGAAAGCCTATTATTTATTTGCTGAAAGAGTTTGAGATACACCAGGACAAAAAGAAGTACCTCAATTTCTCTGTATAACGTATGAAACTTGAAAGCTAATGAAATGCACATTGGAAAATAGAGAGTGCTATGGTGAGTGGTTTCCTGAGCAAGGATTTATGATATATATTGGAAAGAAAAGAAAATGGATGGTAGACATTCTGGTATGAAGTTTTGAAGGAGACCAGGTTATGTTTCAGTTTGAAAATTAATGAAGAATTCAGTAAAGAATTATATGATTAAAGTAGATATTCATTGATTTAAAAAACTAACTTTATTTTCATTATTGCAAAGTTGAAACTTTGATTCGACAAGGTTATCAAAATTCAATGTTTGGAAACATTCGAAGTAATGATTATTATAAATTACAAAACGCTTAAAAACAGCCCCGGCATAGCACCTGAAGAGCTCTCCGAACGCTGCTGAGATGTGTGAGATCACAGTATGGACATGATTTGCACAAGCAGACGATGTCCCATGACATCTCACACATTTTAAGTGCCTGTGTTTTCATCTTCTCTTGAGTTCTTTCTCTTACTACACTACCGTCAGGCTAAATGTATAATCTATTGCCTCACTCTAAACCCCGCTCATGTTTTCATTTTGATGACAAATGCAGCGATACAAAAATAAAGGAATCTGTCGCTTGTAAACAAAATAAGACGCCATTGTATATTCAGCTGCACACTCCGCGGCATGTTCGGCGTTTCAAGAGGGAACGAATGCCGTCCTCAATATCATTCCGGGGGTTTTTCAATTTGAAAGTCTGGTTTCTTTGATTGTTAATTAACCCCTATCCTGTGTATTTACAAGCAAAAGATTTTAGTTATCAGAATCGGGTCATATCCCCTTTCGAATGGTTTGACATGCCATTACATTTATATACACTAAACTCATTATAATTTGACAAATAATAGCTTTGCAATTGTGTTCATTCTTTATGGGATGTCGTCTGCTTGGGCAGTATTGGTCCATATAGTGACATCATTAAAACATCGTTATTTTTCCGGCGAATCTCTCGTATATATGGTGGCCCTGAAGGGACATCGCGAATAGACTAAATCGTGAAAAATATGCGATAAAATTCACGATATCGTCAATTTTATCGCATATTTTTCACGAAGAAATTCACGAAATTGACGATATCGTGAACTTTATCGTGAACTTTTCACGATGAAATTGACGATATCGTGAATTTTATCGTGAAAAGTTCACGATATAAAGTTCACGATATCGTCAATTTTATCGTGTACTCTATCGTGTACTCTATCGTGTACTCTCCTGACGGGCGCTTCGTAAACAAAACCAGCCCTAGCTGGGGGAGACAGAGAGAGAGAGAGAAGGGAAAGGGAAAGAGAAGATAAAAGGAAAGAAAGAAGAGGAAGAAGAAGAAAAGAGGAAAACGGGGGAAGGGCGAAGGACTCTTGCCCCCCCCCCTCCCCCCCCCCCCCCGCCAAAAAATAAATCAGAGAGAGAGAGAGAAGGGAAAGGGAAAGGGAAAGAGAAGATAAAAGGAAAGAAAGAAGAGGAAGAAGAAGAAAAGAGGGAAACGGGGGCAAAGGGCTTTTGCCTCGTCCCCCCGCCCCCGCCAAAAAATAAATAAGAGAGAGAGAGAGAAGGAAAGGGAAAGAGAAGAAAGAAAGAAAAACGAAAAAGAGGGAGAATAGGAAAGAAAGGAAAAGAAAGAAAAGAAAGGAGGCAAGAGCCCTTCGCCCCTGTTTCCCTCTTTTTTTATTCTTTTTCCTCTTCTTTCTTTCCTTTTATATTTTCTTTCCCTCTCCCTTCTCTTTCCCTTTATGGCGGGAGGGGGGAGGGGGAGGTAAGAGCCTTTCGCCCTTCCCCCGTTTCCCTCTTTCCGTCTTCTTCTTCTTTCTTTCCTTTTATATTTTCTTTCCCTTTCCCTTTCCCTTCTTTCTATCTCTCTCTCTCTCTCTCTCTTATTTATTTGTTGGCGCGGGAGGGGGAAGGAGGCAAGAGCCCCTCTTTTCTTCTTATTCTTCTTCCTTTCCTTTTTTATTCTCTTTCCCTTTCCCTTCTCTCTCTCTCTCTCTCTTATTTATTTTTTGGGCGGGGGGATGCAAGAGCCCTTCGCCCCCGTTTCCCTCTTTTCTTCTTCTTCTTCCTCTTCTTTCTTTCCTTTTATCTTCTCTTTCCCTTTCCCTTTCCCTTCTCTCTCTATCTCTTATTTATTTTTTTGGCGGGGGGTGGGGAGGGAGGAGGCAAGAGCCCTTCGCCCTTCCCCCGTTTCCCTCTTTCCTTCTTATTCCTCTTCTTTCTTTCCTTTTATATTTTCTTTCCCTTTCCCTTCTCTCTCTTATTTATTTTTGGCGGGGGGGGGGGGGGGAGGAGGCAAGAGCCCTTCGCCCTTCCCCTGTTTCCCTCTTATTCCTCTTCTTTCTTTCCCTTTCCCTTCTCTCTCTCTCTCTCTCTCTCTTATTTATTTTTTTTTGGCGGGGGGGGGGGGGGGGGGGGGGGGGGGGGAGGTAAGAGCCTTTCGCCCTTCCCCCGTTTCCCTCTTTCCTTCTTCCTCTTCTTTCTTTCCTTTTATATTTTCTTTCCCTTTCCCTTTCCCTTCTCTCTCTCCTTATTTATTTTTTGGCGGGGGGGGGGGGGAGTGAGGAGGAGGCAAGAGCCCTTCGCCCCCCCCCCCCGTTTCCCTCTTTTCTTCTTATTATTCTTTCTTTCCTTTTATCCCTTTCCCTTTTTTCCTTCTCTCTGTCTCCCCCAGCTAGGGCTGGTTTTGTTTACGAAGCGCCCGTCAGGAGAGTACACGATAGAGTACACGATAGAGTACACGATAAAATTGACGATATCGTGAACTTTATATCGTGAACTTTTCACGATAAAATTCACGATATCGTCAATTTCATCGTGAAAAGTTCACGATAAAGTTCATGATATCGTCAATTTCGTGAATTTCTTCGTGAAAAATATGCGATAAAATTGACGATATCGTGAATTTTATCGCATATTTTCACGATTTAGTCTATTCGCGATGTCCCTTCAGGGCCACCATACGTATATCCCAGCTGCTATGGAGGTGGTTGTATTTGTATTTTTATAAATCACCCGATATGTAGTTGACGTAAAGCTTGTACGATGGCCCTCTGTTAGCTTACTACTTCTAGTGATACATTAGTTGACATATTTGTGATTTTCTTTGAATTTCACCTTAAATAACTCTCTTGCAAAAATACAAATTTCAACATCAAGAATTTGTGGCAGACTTTCTTCAATTTTAAACTACCGGGGTAAGAAATAAGTTTAAACTTACATATCATTCCAGTCTACAGGGCTCCGTTATTAATGGATGTTACAATAGGGGTGCTTTTACATCATTTTCTCAAATATTTGTGTGCAAATAAGTGTATTTTTCTAAATTTTACTTTTTAGAGACTCATTTGGCCACAGACTACTGATTGTGTTAATTGTGTATGTAAGAAAGGATAGAATAACCCCATAATTATGTTTTTAATTGCCTGTGTGTTTGCACGTTTGGATACTGGATACTGATTAGTCTACAGGTAATACCAGTATGACAGCTCTTTACCGATATTAACTCTACAAGCCCTGAAGGAAATTGCTGGTACACATACATGAATAGTAGTTTGTAAAACGAAAACATACCAGTAAACTTGTAGGCAGATGTCTAGATCTTATGTAGATGATATACACACATTTTTGTTGTAATAAGCTAGTATTTATTAAAGTTAGATTATTAATATTTTTGTATATATTCAGGATATTTTCTCTAGGAATGTCTTTGATAAATTCAAGAGGTAGATGTTGCACAGGGCTCTTTTCACAAAAAGAATTGTTATTATTCACATTGGAGGACGAATCTTTATGTTCATGTATTATTCCTGGAATACCTTATATTCTAGAGAGATTATGCAATAAAAAAAAAACACTTAATACTGGCTGGGAAGCTTAATTAGTCTTGGATTTAAGTGTTTCTGAGTTTAAAAAGGAGTTTAAAATAAACATTTCCAGTTGTACAGTAAGAGTTCAAAGTTGTGGATTTATATGATTATGCCATATGGCACCCTTTTCCCATCACCCCCACAAAGAAATTTGGAATCCATGAATTTGACCAACTCTGATCTACAAGTATTCTTATATTTTTTTGTATGAGGAAGACAACCACTTGGGCTATCGCCTCTGGATGCATACCCCCTAGAAATAGAACAATGGTCCGCTTAGAACTTTTACCCTTTGGACAACTTCCCCTTTATAAACTGACCCCTTAAAGACATCATTATCCCTATTACTCTACATTGGAGGAGTTAGCAAGGAGTCGATACCATACATAAAGTAAGTGGTATGGCACCCTTTTACTTGTCCAGGGGGGGGGGGGGGCTTCACAAGGGTAGTTGCCAGGATGCTGTTGTTGTTTGGGTACTTGAGACTTGAGCAGGGAGTTGGGGGGGGGGGGTGAGGTAGAGATTGTTGTTCGGGGGTAAATGTCCTACATGTTGTAGAGGAGATTGTTTTCAGAGGATGATAGCTAGTCTCTGCCTACTCTGGTGTAGTTGTCATAGAATTATGTACAAGCTTTGTACATATGCATTCCATTATTTTAGCTTGTGCATGAAAAAAAAAATTGCATAAAAAATTCACCATGTATAACAAGTACCGTAAACTGTTGTTTTGATATCCTAGTATTCTATCAGGGTTTAGTTCTTTCTGTCTTACTCCGATGCAGGGTCAAGCCTTCCCCTTTGACCCCTGTGGCCGTGGGTTCATAACCTTCCCTGCAAGCATGCTACTAGCGAGACCATGGGTTACGATGGACTTGTCACCAACATTGATTCCATCATTTATACTATCACAGCAAAGGTAACCAGTGACTTTTCACAAACGTTTTTATTCAATTAAGATACATTTGTTGATAGTTTTTTGTTTTTGTTAATACAATAGTAAAAAACTACTTTTCAAAAGCAGTTCTGTTTTTGTTATTTTTTGTTTTTTGTTTTGTAGTACTTAATTGTTGCTCAGATAACATTCTTTTATAAAATTGAGGTACCTTGGTGTTCATTTAATTTTTGATAAAAAGTTTAAGTGCATAAAGGTCAGTGCATGAATCTTGGTAGACAAGGCATTTCATTACAGTTGACTTCTCTACCCAGGTGTCAAATGGGCACTTTGATAGTAAGATATGCCTTGACTTGACATGCTTTCTGTGTTTACAACAGAAGAGGATGTGGCATTTTAAAACAAATTTTGCCTCTTTTTGCTAATTCTTTAGATCGTCATATCCTTGCTCTTTATATATTTATAGTTCAAGCATAAAAGAAGAGGTGAATTTTCATTTTCTGTCATCTATTTGATTTTCAGCTTAGTTTGGACAGTCCAGCTGGAGTATGGGTGTCCAGTACAGACATGATACTGACCACTCCAGCCAATAGTCAGAAGGTTGACTGGTCAGCAAGTGAGGACAGTGCATATATCTTTGCAGTGCCTGCCAGCGAAAGCTATGCCAAGAACCATGGTGTTATCAAGTTAAATACAGAGGTTTGTTTGGGTAGTTATACAACTGGGGAGAGGCATTGCTGGAAGACATTCATAGGGTATGTCACCCTCTCGCTCAAAATTATGTTAGAAAATCCAGAAATGTCTTTTAAACTCTTATCCTGCCATAATGAATACAGCCCAGTGCCACAGGGCAAATCCCCATTGTGCCAAGCCACAAATCCCCCGTGCCAAGTTTATTTTGAGATAATCTGATGGTGCGATCAATGGCGCGTGCGAAGCACTCAGCACAGTACAATTAGCATGAACAATAACTGCTATTACGAATGTGAGCATGCATGCATAAAGCAGCTAAGCTGTGGCTCGCTCACATGAATTAAGCAGCCAATCGATAGCGCGCTCACGTGTACAAAGCACTATAACGGTAGCGTGCATGCAGCCTTATGGCAGGATATGAGTTAAACTGAAAAAGGGGGAAAACTCTTCCCAGCAAATTTGAGTGCAATTTACAAAAATGATATGCCCTTCATAAAAAATGTTGCCATGTCCCAAAGAGAGGTGGTATTGTTCTTTTTTCCTCAAGGCTGTGGTTATCAGTATCTGTATAGTTGTAGTACATACACTGTGGTGTCACAATGTACAGTATTAGTAAATACACTGTGGTATCACAATATATAGTACTAGTAAAATTTTGAAATGAGTGAGATAATATCAATAATGATAATAATAAGTCTTGTTTACTCAGGGTAGCTAGCTCATCAGTATTAATACTGTTCTCTCTGAGGGCCCTGCAATCATATTATTACCCTGGCTCAATCCAGCCGAGCTACCATGAAAGGTGCTTAAGCATTCAAAGAATTTCTTTCTACTGGGTACCCTTTTACTTCACCTGGGTGGAGTGTGGCAAATATAAATTAATTTCTTGCCAAAAGACACAAGTGCCATGGCGGGACTCGAACAGTGAACCACGCGATCCGCAGTCCGGTGACGTATCCACTAGACCACAAAACCTCTACGAGATATGATTGACAGATTCTACTGATATTATTATTTAGTATACTGTCTGTGTTTATTGGATGATGTAATATTTCACACATCTCACTCATAGTTCTCATCAAATCTTGGTATATTGCAGGGTTTTGTGGAGGATATCTTTTACAAGCCTGTACCAACTCACATGAAGCAGTGTACCCTACCAGACGGCAAGGTCTCTCTGGTCTGTGGTGTCATCTTCTTTCCCTCAAGGTAAGAATCATTCTCAAACCTTTTGATTTCTATTATTATTATTATTATTGTTATTATCATTATTATTATTATTATTATTGTTATTATCATTATTTATTATTATTATTATTATTATTATTATAATTATCGTTATTATTATTATTATTATTATTATTATTATTAATATTATTATCATTATTTATATACTGCGCTTTTCCCAGAGCGGCCTAAAGCGCTTACAACAAGAAGAATCCCACAAAATATGAAAATGATAATACTTACAGAATCCTACAAAATCTGGATTACAAAAAAGAAATGTTTTAAGTCCCTTTTTGAATGAAGAGACAGATGGTGATTGCCTGAGTATTAAAGGTAGCCTATTCCAATATTTAGATGCAGTTATAGTGAAAGGCAGATACGAGGCTCTTATAGGTTCTTTATAAAAGATTCACAGGCCTATTTATTTATAGCTTCACTGTTCGATAGCCCCTCTATCAGAAATAAAAAATTTGGGATTTTTTTTCCCCCTTCTTTTTTCAAACCTCTTCCATGACTTCAGATGTATTTCTAGACAATTTTCATTCTGGTGCAAAGTAATTAAAAAATATCTGTGTAATTTCTATAATTCTTATCGACTTGCTATATTTTTGCAGATGTCATTGTACATAATGATGTATATTTTTCATAATAAAGTATCTTTGTTTGAACTAATTGAACCTGATCTTGAAATTGAACTGAATTGAAATGGAATAGTGTCTTACTGCTTTTATGCATTAATAAATAATCATACAAATGAAAGTTCAAACCTGTGTTAGTGGCCATTAATTTCCAAGGCCTCTATTATTAAATTTCTCTATTCGGAGGACGTAGCATATACATGTTACTGGTATATTCCCATATGGAGATGGCATTGTCAGTGATTGAACAACGATTGTTTGTGGTTTATTATTTATGCTCAGAATCGCAGAGAAGCTTCTGTCCTGCCATGTTTGTCCTCCTCTCGATGCTTGCACATACATGGGCTTGGACAGCGGAGTCAAACCAATACAGGTAAGATTCTTACCTAACATATACAGCCAAGAATAACAACATCTAGGCAAAGAAATAGTAGTTCAGAATATGGAATGTGTACAAATAATTCTCAATATACAATGAAATGGGAACTCTTACAAGAGGAACAAGAGCATTCATAGATCTTAATTCAATGCGAAATATGTTTGATGTGTTTATCAAACCTTCATTAATTTCAGACCATCATACTCTCTGTGCACAGAACAAACAGTAAATCTGATGAAATTGCTGCCACTCTCCATCTACTTTCTTCCTTCATTGGATATGTTTATCAAGAAGGCTATCAAAACTCCCCTAACAATGATGATCATTAATACTTATATGCAAATTTGTTTTAAACCCTATAGAATGCTACATAAATTTTTAATATGTGTACCAGCACTAATCATTATTATCATGGTGATAGTGATGGGGATAATCCTTGACTATAGTTTTACTTTGGACTTTATTTCCGCCCCAGATGTCTTTGTTCTTTGACTTCATCCTCCCGATGGCAGGCAGCAAGGATGAGGAGGACTTCATCTCAGGGGAGAGAAGTAAGGCCTACGATAACTCATTGTGCCCTCATTGGTCCGAAGCAGAGTTGCAGGTCAGGAGGACGGCCAGGGCTGCTCTATGGAACCAATTCAGAGGGCTGAGATTGAAAGGAGGTAATGTGACAGCCCCAATAATACAACCTAGGCCTCGTCTTATATAGAGTTGATATTAATCGCAACTTATTTGCTATTGATATCAATCGCAACTATGTACATAAGGGATAGGAGACTGCAAACTTGCGATTGATTTGGATCAATCGTAATTCTTTATAAGACGGGGCCCTGACAGTTTTCTTATGTTCAGATGCATGCCTCTCAATATCCAATGAGAATTGACCTTTGATGGGGGACATAGATGAAAGCAAGATCCTGATTGGACGTCAGACTTAGGATTTTATACTAGGACAGGCAATAAACTTGATAAAGAAGAATTTATACTTTAAAGATATAGTTTTTTGTTAGAGCCAATAAATCTGAATGCAAATCTTACCTAAATGTTTAAAAACTTTTCCAGAGTCTTTTTTTATTGCATCATTCTGTTCCCTTTGATTTGACTAGTTTTAATTACCTATCATGATAGTGATTGAGCCAATGAAACAATGGAAAACACATCCTCGCTGTTTTATTCACAGTGTTGTTAAAAGATGCTCGTCATGACTACCAGACTGTCAATGCTGGAATGCATCTCCGCCATCTTGTAAACTGTCCCGTGAGAGATGAAGACAGTCATTTTTCTTGGTCCAACACAACTCACTGCTTTATAGAGGCAAGTTTACACCTCAAGATTTTCTGTGAAAGTTGTATCATGATTACATGTAGATACAATCAGATGTTGGCACATGTTATTATTCTTGATGGGATTGAACCTTTTTTTGCTTCTAGTGTCATTTAATCATACACATACTTCCTTTAGAAATACTATAAAGCAACTAAAAATGATTATTTTATCATATTATTATGGAGGATCTTGAGTTTGTTTAGTGTTCAGTGTACGCTATTTCCTTCATTAACAAGAATTTATCTGTGAGTTCTGAAAACAAACTTATTCAGCTAAAGATTTATGTTTCCTTGTATTCGTTGAATTAATTTTGGTATTATATTGATGTATACCCGTCATGCAAATGCAAGATCATTTATATTGAAGAGCAGTGATTTTTAATAAATATTGTATGTACCTCTTGGATCTTTATATGCTTTACTTTATAGGAGGGATGCCAGCTGATGGAAAACTGTCATACCATTAACTCTATTGTAGGGTCAGGGGTTGAGGTCACAGGAAAGTCAAGCGTCATCTTACACAGTCATCTAGAGGTAAAGCCCCTTTCATACTGCCAAATGAGCCCCAGAGGTCATGTCATAAAATTGACCTCATATATACTTGGATGATTTAAAGATATAACGTTATACAATGGCATTGCCTCTATTTCTCTGGATAATTCTCTACACCAAAGTGCATTTCCATCATATGAGCTGTGTGCACATACACTCAAGTATTGTGAAATGACCTTCAATTGACCTCCAGGTGAGTGGTCTTGTACCTTTCTCATTGCCCTTTATTTGTGTGTAACCTCTAGAGATCTTCCATTGCTTACTCATAATCAAGTGCAATAAGTCAGCAGGGTCTATGAAATTTTCTCATGTCATAGGGGACTCATCAAAATGTGTTAATTGCGATTTACAATAATCCTATACAAACAATTTAGATTTCTAACTGTTACAAACAACCGCTTCCCTCATTACTGGTCTGAAAATATAATGATTATGTAATGATTCTCCCATTCCCATTCCCATTTCCCATGGACTCAATATCAAAATGCATTGATCATTATCTTATATAATCCTATACCAAACAACCAATTCCCTATTATATTATGTAATGATTAATCCTTTCAATAGCTTTTGTTTGCAAATCAGTGTTTTAATCACAAAAATGTACATGTATACAGATGTAGCACAGCTTTTAGAGTACACTATGCAATCTTCATGTATCATTGCATATTGTCTTTTCCATATCGCAAACTTGGTATGCCTTAGAATATACAAAACAAGCTACCGGTACTATGTTACAGATCAAAGTATTGCAGGAAGAGGAAAATTGGTAGAAATTTGAAGACCGACAATACATAATCTTCAATACATTGATTTACAAGGTTTCCAGGTTCCATGACACATGCTCCGCCGACGATTGCTCCGCCGACATTTACTCCGCAAAACGCGACAATTGCTCCGCGACATTTGCTCCGCGACATTTGCTCTGACGTCAAATGCTCCGCCGACAGGTGCTCCGCCGACAGTTGCTCCGCCGACAGTTGCTCCGCCGACAATTGCTCCGCCGACAGATGCTCCGCCGACAATTGCTCCGCCGACAATTGCTCCGCCGACAATTGCTCCGCCGTCAATTGCTCCGCAAAACGCGACAATTGCTCCGCCGACATTTGCTCCGCCGACATTTGCTCCGCCTGAAGCGACAATTGCTCCGGTGACATTTACTCCGCCGACAATTGCTCCGCCGACAATTGCTCCGTCGACAATTGCTCCGCCGACAATTGCTCCGCCTGAAGCGAAAATTGCTCCGGTAACATTTGCTCCGCCGACAATTGCTCCGACGACATTTGCTCCGCATGAAGCGACACTTGCTCCGACGACATTTGCTCCGCCCAAAAAGTGTCCCATTAAATACAAATGCTACTAGTACTACGACAAATGCTTCGCCGACAATATTTTTTTTTCACGGGTTGTTTTTGTTTCTTTTTTTTTTCCTTCATTTTCTGAATTCATTTCATGAAATTATGTAAATGAAATGAAATGAATGAATGTTGATGATGTGGGAGGAAAAAGCAGTTGCCTAAAAGTCATTTCGAATATACTGAAATAACTTTCCATCTATCACTAGTACGTCCCACATAATGTACACTAAACACTCATTACATGTCATGGGAAGTTTTTTTTTTTTAAAGTAGAGCAGCAAGCCACATTCCCCAATACGCGCATACCTCCTAGTTAATTTCAAACAGCTCATCAATATGTAAGACCTGAAATTACCTCAATGAAAGAAGACTAATAACATGAGAGGAAAGAAAAGAGCAAAGAAGACAACCGTTTTTTGCTATTCCCCATAATGTTTGATTTAAAAAAATAAAAAATAAAGTTATAGCTCCTTACGCAAGTTCTCCGGCGAAAGATAATTACTCCGCTCAAAATCTGTTTCATGTATTACTCATTAGCTGATCCAAAGCTCAAGGCTATCTCTCTCTCTCTCTCTCTCTCTTTCTCTCTCTCCCATGCTCCTCCTTTTCCTGTTTACACCGTTTTCTTGTCTTCTTTGCTCTTTTCTTTCCTCTCATGCTATTAGTCTTCTTTCATTTCCATCACTTCTTCTCTGCTCCCCCTCTCGAGTTCTATTTCTCTCGTGAAATTGAAACGTAAAGTAATACAATCATGTAGTACATTCTTCTTTAGAATAATATTTTCAATAATATCCAGTCCATTTTCTAAAGGTTTCTTTCCTTTAATTAAGTGTATGTAGCTTTAATATATATATGTTAGTGTGTAAAACACTCCGTTTCATTCGAGTACTTTGTTTTCACTGAATAATTTAAGGGACTCACGAAGCCACCGGAAGAAGAGCAATTGGCTTATCATGAAGAACTAACATCAAACTGCAACAAAATGATTTGTATAAATGTGAATAAGCAGAAAGGCTGCCATCTCATTTTCCCGTCTGAATGGGTTCTCTTCCTTACGTATATAAGTGCCCTTATTTTCTAAACTTCCATGATGACCTAGTACACTGTATAATGCTTTACCTAGTAAGATGCATTGATCGAGGTAATTTCAGGTATTACATATTGATGAGCTACTTGAAATTAACTAGGAGGTATGCGCGTATTGGGGAATGTGGCTTGCTGCTCTACTTTTAAAAAAAAAACTTCCCACGACATGTAATGAGTGTTTAGTATACATTATATGGGACGTACAGTGATAGATGGAAAGTTATTTCAGTATATTCGAAATGACTTTTAGGTAACTCCTTTTTTCCTCCCACTTCATCAACATTCATTCATTTCATTTCATCTACATTATTTCAAGAAATGCATTCAGAAAATGAAGAAGAAAAAAAGAAACGAAAAAAAATAGGTGTAAAGAAAATATTGTCGGCGAAGCATTTGTCGTAGTACAGTAGCATTTGTAGTTTATGGGACACTTTTTGGGCGGAGCAAATGTCGTCGGAGCAAATGTCGGCGGAGCAATTGTCACTTCAGGCGGAGCAATTGTCGGCGGAGCAATTGTCGGCGGAGTAAATGTCGGCGGAGCAAATGTCGGCGGAGCAATTGTCGCTTCAGGCAGAGCAATTGTCGGCGGAGCAATTGTCGGCGGAGCAAATGTCGGCGGAGCAAGTGTCGCTTCAGGCGGAGCAAATGTCGGCGGAGCAAATGTCGGCGGAGCAATTGTCGCGTTTTGCGGAGCAATTGACGGCGGAGCAATTGTCGGCGGAGCATCTGTCGGCGGAGCAATTGTCGGCGGAGCATCTGTCGGCGGAGCAATTGTCGGCGGAGCAACTGTCGGCGGAGCAACTGTCGGCGGAGCAACTGTCGGCGGAGCATTTGACGTCGGAGCAAATGTCGCGGAGCAAATGTCGCGGAGCAATTGTCGCGTTTTGCGGAGTAAATGTCGGCGGAGCAATCGTCGGCGGAGCATGTGTCGGGTTACCGGTTTCCAGCTATCCTTGAAATCAGGGAAAATCTTAAATGAATTCACATTTTTGCTTAATCATAAATGATTATTAGACCTTAAAGATTGTAAAAAAAAATGTGCATAAGACATACTGGGAATTAGACCGAATGAAAATAAGACTAAATGAGCAATAGACCAAATAGGTAGTCAACTTTATAAATATTGGATATTCGACCAGATGGAAACCAGACCAAATGACTGTTAGCCTAAATGGTCATTAGAACAGATGATAAGTAGAAAAAAATGATTATGAGACCATGTGGTTAGTAGACGAACTGGTTGTATTATTTATAACAAGTTCAAGTTCAAGTTCATTTTATTCAAGAAGAAGAAAAAGATTGACTATGTTGGCTTTTTATATGTAGTTTATGCGATATAAAAGTCCATCAGGGAAAAATTGGGGAGTTTGTGTTAATTCATCATTGTATCCTTTTTTGTGTTCCAGTGCAAGATGAACATAGCCAAAGATTCCTACCTCATGAATATTGACAAAGAAGCCTCTGAGGTATGTGATTTATATTCATCATGTAGTTAGTGGTTAGAAGATTGTTTTGATGCAGTGCAATAAGGAAGAAAAATATAATATGTGGTAGTATGACTTCTAGAAGGCACAATTACAATCTTGTTAACAGTAAATTTTCAAGGCAAATTTTCAGTAACTTGTGTAGGAACCCGATTATGGAATGAACTTCCCGATGAAATCAAAAACAAAGGGTCTAGAAACACTTTTCGTAAACATCTCAACGATTACTTGATGAATAAGTGATTGAATTATGCAAGTACACATGTATATATTGTAAATAATCTCCATATTACATTTTTGTTGTTTTTTTTTGTCAAAAAAATGCAATTTTTTGTATAAATAATCTGTAGATACATGTATCTATGACTTTTTAACCTGGTATATCCTCTTCATAATTATATTTGGAGTGTAGAAATTGTGCTACGGTATTACTCAACATGTATACTTCTACTGTCAAGTTTTATTTTTTGATAATGATATATTTATTTTTGCCAAGTGTGTGCTAAGAACAGGGGCCAGACTCGACTAGCACATGTGCTATTATTTGGCTCCTTTTCATCACCTTCTATATTCTATGAGAAAAGACATATGTCTAGCATATCAATACTTTGTTAGGTTTTTCTTTAATATGATCTATAATATTCATTTATGAACATGTACCATTCACGATGTATTCAAATGTTTAATCACTGATGTTATTGATGATGAATAAATCAAATCAAATCAAATCAAATCAAATCAAATCAAGTAATGATATAGAATAAGAATTAATAGAATTTCCAAAATAAATGAATTCCATCTTGCATCTAATGAAGCAAAAACGGTGGTCGAAAATACTTGAAAATATGTATTGGAAAGTGCCCGGCAAAGGTTACTGATGGCCATCATTTTTCACAATTTTGTTACATAATATAGTTGAATTATTCAATCATTGATTGCCTTGGTTATCATTTAAAGAGGAGTAGATGTTACATTTCAGAGACAAAATATCACATGTCATGAATTCATTACTAAAGTGGTTGCTGTATTTACTTCATGGAAAAATAAAAAATCACTGATACTAAGATTGATAAAACCATCCTTTGTACTGATCTCTCCATCTCCCCTCTCTCTCTCTCTCTCTCTCTCTTCTTGTTCATTATATGCACACTAGGAGCTTGAGAATCTGAGTTTACCAGACAGTGTGTTCCTGCAAGGCTTCAACCTATGTCTTGGTCACTCTCCTAGTATCAAGACAAAGGTCTATACAGTCATGGGAAAGTTTGATACTATCATGGTAGGTGACTTCTTTTAATATACACGTCCCTTAACAGTTACAATTATTTTCAAAGTAAATTAGGATCAGAAAATGGCTATCCTGATTTCCTTTTCTGATGAGCTATTAATCACGTCATGTCGTGATGATCAGTTCTTCTTTGTCCAACTTGGCTGACATGTTGTTTTTCATTTTGCAAGCAAGTGCAATGAACTGTACAGTGAATCAGTGCTGGTGACAGTACATTTATAGATGAACAGAATTATTTGTATCCATTTTTAGATATTAACCTTTTCATCATTATTATCATCATCATCATCATCATAATTATTTATTGAAGTCAGCATTTTCTCTTTTACAAGGGGTTACTGACTGTAGCGTCATGACACTCCCTCCCTACACTTCTTCTTGTTTCGAGCACCTTCTTTATTTAGACCAACCTTACTTCTCTCTTTCTTCACCATATACTTTCATGAAATCCTTATTCTTCCTTTCCATCTTACGTCATCCACTTCCAGATCCCATGCTTTTTTCACAATTGAAGATGGTATTTGTTATGTCCATTCAATATGAAAACTTAATTAAGTTGAACATGAATGTTCATGAATGCAATCCTCTCAATGCAGCTCTAGGCTTGCTGGGATATTATCCCTTTGACCAATTTTCTTATCATCTATCTCACTTCTTGAGAATGACAACCCATGACCCTCCCTTTTCATTGATATTTTTGAGAGGTTCTCTTGTGTATTATAGAATTAATGATGGTCTTTATGTTTGTTATGTTTGTAGATACCCTATGTGAAAGGAACCAGTACATTCTGTAACAACCCTTGGGTTGTGTTCTTGACTAGAACAGGAGTGGACAGAGATGATCTATGGGCTACCCACTTGGTAAGGACAATAATAACCTTCATAATGAAAAACATACAGGAATTCCGTTATGAATGGATATGATATGGAAATTGAGAATGGTATTTACTTTGGTAGTGAGGTCGGCTATGAGGTTGACTCTGGGAGGGAAGATGAGAATGGGAATGAGATTCACTTTCAGACTGAGAAAGATATTACAAGTGGGATTAATGAGATCAAGATTAAAATTGAGATAGAAAGTGGGATTAATGAGATAAAGATTAAGATTAAAAGTGGGATATAGAATGAGTTGGAGATTAGTATGACATTGGGACTGTTAGTTAGATTGAGATTAAGAAACAGAATATGAGTTTGATTGAGATTGAGATGGATATTGACATTTGAAGATTTATCTTGAATGGAAATCTCCCTCACTGCACTGAGTCTAGATTAAGCAAGTGTTATACGATTGAAATTGAGTATGGGAATTAGTTAATGATTCAGATTTAGTTGAAGTTGACATTTGAAGATAAATTGAGCTTGAACTTGATTGAAAATATAACACCTTCCTTCCCTGAGCCTACAGACAATGAGGACCACTTGATCTAAAGATGTAGTGTTGTTTATTTGATTAGAATCAGTAATTAATATAAAGATTGCTAAAAGTATTGATTTTTATATTCTTGTATGTATTCATGATTTGTAAACTGAATTGTATGAGTCTCCTGACATATTCAGCATGTGTTTATTTACAATAAACCAGAATTGAATTGAATTGAATAATAATAATAATAATAATAATACATGAGATCTATATAGCGCCATTATCCATTTTAATTAAATGCTCAAGGCACTTGACCTCTTCCTCTCTCTATCTTCCTTTGTATCTCCAGTCTGATTATGAACGCACATTGTACAATGCCAAGCTCTTTCCGGTGATGGCTTGCCAGAACTCAATAGGCATGAAGGAGGCCCTCTGGCTGCTGAATGGAGAGAAGGACGAAGCCATGCTGCAAAGATGGCGGTCGTCATGGAGATTGTCGCTGGAAGAAATCATGAGCAATATTGACCTATCAACAGAATTCCAGTGGAGAAGGTTTGTGACTTCCCCCAAATGCTACATCATTTATTCTTAATACAGCTATTGTGCAAACATCGTATCATATTTAGTGTAGCTGTTATGGCCTTTTCTCATTTGATTGTACCAATGAATGTCTTGGAGTGAGAGCTGATACAAAGCTAAGAACATTTGACAATATCTGCAGGAGAAATTAAGTTCTTTGTTCCATACACTTTTTATAGAACACACCCTGATCCTATGTTTGCATTATCATACTTTTAACTTACAGCTTGAATGAATCTTTTAGTAATTGACATTAATTTGATTAAAAAAATATCATCCTACTAAAAAAAAATGTATACTCACCTGTCATCAGTGATGCAGTTGGGACATATAACAGAGGTCTGGAGGGCAACGGATGTTTACTTGTGATTGCATTCATTGTGCGCAAAGATCTAGGCTGAAATATCGACACTCACACAGAGACCATCCTGATAACATCACTGTCCAGGAAGTACAGTCCCATTTTCTGACTAGTTACCATGGCAACTTTTTTGGTATACACCTTTTGTGCAGGAAGATGTTCTTAGAGGTTGGACGAAGGAAAGTGGAGGATGTTTTGATGAACATCAGGAATCAAGGCATTCTACCGTTCCTCAAGTGTACCGTCATAGAAGGATGTGCCCAACAGATGCTTGATACACTGGATGCCAGTAAGTTCAAGTTCAAGTTTTACTCCACGCTTCATAGCAACAAAATAACAGCATCAGAAACATACTGAACACATGCACAAAAGAAAAAATATCAAATAGACCAAACAGAACACTATTTTTTCTACAAACTGATACCGAAATTTCTTATTCTTATTTTTATAATATACAGGAACTTTACCTAAAAAATGATTGTAATTTAGCAAATTTTTCATTGATTTTTAAGCTAGTGTTGTTAAAAAAGAATGTACAGATACATAAGTGAGAAGGAGATTACATATGCAGAGCTGCCAACCATTCCGTATTTGCCGGAATTACTCCCGTTTTTTCCTCCAAATTACGGTATTACGTTTTTTATCCATAAAATACGTTTTTTAATAATTTTTTAAAAAAAAAATCATAATTTTTTTAATTTATTTATTTATTTATATATATTTTTTTTTTTACATAATGCACGTCAAACAACTGCCCTAAAATGGTGATTTGATCACAAATTCAATAGAAAACTAATTTAAAAGCATACTTGAAGAGAAAAATATTCTCAAAAAAAATGAAATGCCGATAGTACCAAAATAACCACCAAAAAAATTACCTGCTTGTATGGAAAAAAAACAGCATGATGAATGACCATTTCTGCATTGGAAGTGTGTCGCGCGTGGTTGTGAGTTTCGTTTTTATGAATTCCTTTTTTTTGCTTGAAATTCCTTTTTTTTTTGCCATCATGATTCCTTTTTTTGGTGGCACAAGGTTGGCAGTTCTGCATATGGAGGAGACAGCGTAGGCCAAAGGCATGTCAGGGGCTAGAAGATAGCATGCTTATTACTGACCTTAGTATAACATATTACATATGTACTAGTGGAAGACAAGT